TCTTCTTCTTCTTCTTCTTCTTCTTCTTCTTCTTCTTCTTCTTCTTCTTCTTCCTATCGTTATTACTATTACTCGTTTTTGTTCTCTCTTTTGATCTTCTCTCCTCCTTTTCGCTTTCTTCTTCTCCTGTATTTCTTTCACCACCTACTCGTATTTCAACTATTTCTCAGTCTCTCTTGTTCTGTTTCTTTCATCCTCGAATTGTCCTCTTTCCACCCTTTTTGACTGTTCTGAAAACCGTGAAAATATCAAGATCTCCACCCTCCCACCTCCTCACTGTCACCACACCCTCCCTCTCACCAACCTCTTTTCACATCCACTTTCTCCTCCCTGGGAACGTTGAGGGCAGTCTTCCCATCTTCCCCCTCCTCCCCCTCCCCACTGATAAACCTGTCCACTCCTTCCCCATTTTACCTCCTCCCCCTTCCCACTGATAAACCTCTCCACTCCCTCCACATTTACCCTCCTCCCCCTCCCCACTGATCTACTCTCCACTCCCTCCACATTTACCCTCCTCCCACCTAGCTGGGTTGACGGGCTGTAGAAAGGGCGGCTTCAGCACACCCTCCACTCTCCCTCTCCTTCCTTACTCACCCTCATCCCTCGTAACTCATCCCTCCCTCCCTCTATTTCCCTTTTGTTTCTTCCCTCCTCCTCCACTCATCCCCCTCCACATCCAACTTATCACCCTTCTCCCAACTCACCTTTCCTTCCTCCAACTCTCTTCCCTCCTTCACCATCCCTTCCTTCTTCCCCTTTTCTTCTACCCCCTCCTCCACCCTCCCTCCGCCTCCTTCTCCCATATCCCCCTCATTCCTCCTCCTCCTCCTCCTCTCCCCTCAATCCCCCTCCTCCTCCTCCTCTCTCGGAGGATTGAGGGGCAGTATGAAGAGCAGTCGCAACACACTCTCCGTCCCCTCTTCCTCTCCCTCACACCTCCTTCCCTCTTCCCCCTCTCACACCTTCCCTCTCCCATCCCTCCCTCTTCTTTCTCACTCACCCTCCTCCTCCTCCTCCTCCTCTGTGGGAGGATAGACGAGCAGTAGGAAG